ATCTATCTATCTATCTATCCTTCCTTTTTGTCAAAAACATGTCAATTTGAAATGATATTCTTTTATATCTTATAGTCTTTCTCTCAAAGTCTCTCTGCTTCTACTCTTTCAACTCTCCCTTTCTTTCGTTTTCTGTCCATCACTCTCTTTCTCTCTCTCTGTCTCTCCTCCCTTTGTGCACAAGACGGCGGTATGCGGTGAACCGAATGTTCATTATTTTCAAAAGCAGAATGACAGTCGTCTCCGCCAACACTTGGAGAAAAGTGCCGCCCACAACGGCTCCAGATGGAGGACGGCAAGAAAAGTTGAATTTTCTCCTCTCTTGCCTTCAACCATGATGGTGAAGACAAAGTAGATTCTGAAATACTTGGCAGAGAGGATGTGTGGATTCCTTTTCCTGCTTGTGTTGTTTTCACTTGACAGTTAAACTAGTAATTAAGCAAAAATGTTTCTAATTATATCTAACGGTGCCGGAATCTGGAAGAACACCTGTGGGAGAGGAAGATGTATCATAAAATTTTGGTTTGGCTCGGGGGCGTCCTGGTGGCTCACTAAACCAGATTGAATCTGACCTTTGGCTCATTTCATCCCTCATTTCATCTTAACTATCACACAAGCCATCGGTAAAAAAGAGTCTTTCTAACTCCCATCTTTGCTTTTAACTAATGAATTCTGGGAGTCGTATTTAATAATGCCTGCAAAATTTAATTTGCTTGACATTTTGAACTGACCTGAAGTACTGAAAATGAATCGTCACACAATATTATTTACCAGACTGACTTGAATTGTGGAAATGCCAAGGCTGTCAGAGTTAATGCAGACCTTATACTGCTGATTTTAAAGCAATAACGCATTATTATTTTTCTCATTGAATTAATTGCATTTCCATGTTCATCTCAGTAGGCAGCCATCTTCCCTTCTGGGGCTTCACTGCATATGTTGGAATACTTAATAGTGTGCCACGAGTACTGTTGGAATGTTAAGTCAATGAGGGGAAGAAATTTAATTTTATAATTTTCTTTTGGGAATAGATTTATTTCTATATTCAGCTTCTGTCATGTTTTTAAGTCTTACTCAGCATTTCAGTTATTCAAATGAGACTGAACTTAGAAGGGAAGACAGAGGAAGAGTCTGCTGGATGATACCATGGAATATCCCAGTGAAATATCTGTTGCTAGCATTTTGCCATCAATTGAAACATTTTGCAATGATTCACAATATCAAAAAGCTAATCATTTCAAAGTGCAAATAGATACATTAAGCAATGTTTTCCCTACAATTATGCATTCATCCAATCTGCCAGATCATTATTGGGTCTGGTACGGACCTTACTAGAGTAAGCAGATCTGATATTGGCAAGTAATAACAGATTCACATTACACATGTCTTTGTCAATGTCATTATGAAATTCTATGTTTGTGCACTAAATCTCTGCTGTTTTTGTGCCACAGCAATCTCTGGGGTCCTGTTACCTTACATAAAAGTGATTCCAATTGCTGGATGGAAATGTTCTCATTTGTACAAGCACATTACAAGCAATTGGTCTTCATATTGTATTGCCTTAACAAGTCCTCTAAACTCAACCACAAGAACTCAACAGCCGCATCTAGTTCCCCTCATCATAATGGCATCTTTTTTCATTGCCTTCAAAATCCATTACAAAAGACCACTATGGTTAAGGTGTGGTTAAATTTAGGCACCGACAGTCAGGGAATGATGGAGGTCACGGGTAAAAGTGGTGCTCTCCACTGTTAAACTCACAACTCCTCTGTTACAACATTAAGCTACACTTGCCTTAAGTGGTCACAAAAATAAAATTATCAATTCCCTCTGCCCCGATGGACACTGATGGGGAGAGTAAGTTTGATGCTTCTGGAAGGTCAATGTGAACAGAAGCTTTACAGACATTTGAGCTGCTGTGCAATGACTCTGAACCACTTTTGGGGCAAATCATTGCAAGACTGCATCATTATTTTTCCTCCAAGCTGCTTTCCATCAAAGCTTTCAGAACTGACCAAATACATTCCCCAATTCGATACACAACAACTTGCTGTACTTGTTATACTTGTTAGAAGCTCCGCCATTGGCCCTGAACTTCCTTGCTTTTTCTGGCTACAAGGTGAGCCCTGCAGCATGAAAATGCTCTCTCTCTCCTGCAAACTCTATAACTATTTTCCTCTCTCTCTCTCTCTCTCTCTCTCTCTCTCTCTCGCTTTAGGTGTGCCCGGTAAACCTCAGATCTTGGGCTTTGAGAGTGCAGTGCCGGAGGGGGGCAAAGTCACCCTGACCTGCACCAGTACTGGCAGCAAACCCCCCGCCAGGCTGCGCTGGTACCGAGGAAACCAGGAGCTGGAAGGTGAGAGACACAGTGCGTGTGTGGACGCTCTGTGTGTGTTTGTGAATGTGTGTATTGTCAGGTCAGATATGCTGGATCTGTCTGTTGTTATGCTCTGGCTTGTACTTATGCTGGATCTGTGTGTGTGGTAAAGAAATGGATGGGTGTGGTTATGTGTATGTTTGTGGGACAGTGTGTGTGTGAGTTTGTAGCTGCAAGGATATTTCGGAGGAATGCAAGGATGTGGTTTGTGTTTGTGTACGTGTGTGTTTCTCTGTGGGTTTTCAATAAGCTTTTGTATGATCCTTCAGTGTGTGTGTTTGTGCACATGTGCAAGTTTGTGCGCATATTCCTTTCCATTTTTGTGTGTTTTTGATCCTGTGTGTGTGTGTGTGTGTGTAAGAGAGAACGTAGCTTGTGTGTGTGATCATGCTGTGTGCGTATTGTGTCCTTGCCACGTTGCCTGCTGTCTCTCTGTGTGTCCTAAACCTGCGCCTGCATATGTGTATGTGCAAGTGCAAGAGCATATGTGCATGTGCAAGTGTGAGAGCATGCTGCTTGTGTGTGTGTGAGAGTGCAGGAACACGCTGCGAGTGTGTTGTGTTCTTTCTTCCCATCATTCCTTCATGTCCTGATCCAGTAAATGCGTGCCTATGCATGTATCCAGGAACTGTGTACGTGTTTTCTTTTATTTGTATTTTGTGTTGATGCTGACTTTATTTGTGCAAGTGTGTGTGTGTCATCCGTTGAGCTGCAACATATCTGCAACTGGGAGTGACACAACAGAGAGCGAGAGATAGCGTGGGTCGGATCTAGCCAGGGATAACGACAGAATCCAGCAATGAAAGGCAGGGTGGAGGAGAGGATGAAGGGATGAGGTCGAACAGAGAAACAGAGATAGAGAGAGCTTTGCATGAGGTCAGACTGACTGGTCTTTTGTTATAGATAAACGGGAGAAATGAGCAGGGAAGAGAAAGAGAGAGCAGAGCGAGGATGTCATAAGAGGACAAATTAACTGGCTTTCTTCTTACAGATAAACTGAAAATCACCGAGACGATTGGCAGCCTCTGACTCACACCAGTGGTATTGGCAGTGGGAACGTTTCTCCAAATTACGACTATGTTTCCCGTAACCCCCCCCCCCCCCCCCCCAGTCCCCCCCCCGCTTCTTGTTGCTTCATCAGTCAAAGGTTTTCTGTTTTGCTTTACCGAGCAGAACAAACATGTTGGAAGTGTTGTTTCTGTCGCCCTTTCGCTCCTTCCACCATCTGCCATTACCAGAAACTCTATAAGCTTTACGCTCTATCTGTACTGGAAGAACAGCGCCCTCTGTCTGTTTGCAAAGCCCTCCAGCAGATGTCCCGCCAAATCTACTCTGTGTACTCTGCGGTGTTCAGACAGGGAAATCTTCTTTGCAATGGTCTTTTCAAGAGTAATTATACTAATATAATATGGTGATATAATATGATAATGATTTATTGATGTGAAAATGCTGACACTCAGCTTGCTTAATGCAAAAATGCCTGTCTTATGTCCTGATGCTTTGGCAGTGTTAGTGTTTGCTGTAATTATGGATTGAAATGAATCGAAAGAATGGACTGAAGCTACAAAGAGAAGGAGGAATGGGAGAGCTGCCTGCCTGAGGACAGATTATCTGGTCTTTTTGTTACAGCTGAACTAAAAACAGGAGACAGAGGGAAAGAGGAGCCTAGAGATTGTTGCTTTTTTAGAGAGATTGGATTTTTGTTTAAAGGGTCAGCTCACCCAAAATACAAAAAGATGTATTTTTCCCTCTTAACCCTGTTATGGCTATCTAGCCACGCAGATAGTTTTGTTTTTATTTGTCCAGGTTTTGAGATATGCGTCTCTTGAGATGACTGCCAACCATCCAATATAATGGAGGTGAATGCAATTTTGTTTGTGCTCAATGAAAGATTGTACAGCAACATGCTTTTTCAGAAACAATGTTTTGATTACTCTGGATAATCAACAGAAGAGATCCAGAGGGATTAAGTTTATACTGGATATATATGCACTTCATGATTTATATCCAGTGCAGATAATAGTGTGAACTTTATGTGGCAAGATGGAAGGTAAAGTGGGGTTATAGGAGCTATATGAGCATGTAGCATATCTGACTTTTATGCTGGAAACCAGAGTTTGTAGTCTGGCATAATATTTGTTTTTTTCCCACTGTAACAGTTTTCCCCTAACCTTAACTAAGTGTTTTAGTTACCTAACCTTTACCATGCCATTAGGGTTTTTCTGTGTCTCTGATACAGCCTAAAATGTTGAATTGAATATCGGCAAGTACACAAATCTATGCACCAGTCCAGTATGCTGTAAACAGCTCCCTGCTAGTTTCCATTAGCGTCCTGTTTGCCTTTCTGAAGTCATGACCTGCCTTACTCTCCCTATGATTAGCTCTCCCTGATATTCTCACCCTAACCCTATCTCACCCCTCATGCCCAAACCTAACCAACCAGCGAAGGCAACGAGTGCTAGCCAGTCAGAGTCAGAGTAGGGTGGGGCATGTGCGCTGTGCTGCCACTGAGCACTGGCAACTACTGTAACATTAGTAAGAGCTAGCTAAATGTCAACAAATTGACTTACAGATAATATAAGAAAGTTCTATGGCATTCATTCTCAAAGGGTTTAACCTGAGCCAGGCCAAACAACAATGATAGCAATCCTACACATACAGCTGTCAAAAAAGTCAAGCATCAAGCACCTATTAATGGTAAATTAATAAAGTCCTTTCCTTGTCTGGTAAATTCATTATCTGAAACTCCATGCCTCATTTTGTAACCCAGGTTTTCTGTTAAAAAGTCCAAGTTGAGATAATCACTGATTAGTAAACTAAAATCCATGTGTAAGATTACTGCCAGTTTAGTTTGCCATGCGTGCCATAACCATTGTCATGCAAAGATATTGGATAAATAAATCTTTTTTTTAAAATGTTGGCATTGAATGTTATAAAACAAACCCTGTCATTGAATATAATCCAGGGTTTTGCTGAATCAGCAGTCTTGTCTGGCAATAGGGTTGCATCCAGAGTAACAGGGACATTGGTTCTGTTTAGTAATTTGTGTGAACCGACCCTTAAATAAAAGGGGAGAACACAGAAAAGTAGAGCCAGACAGAGAGAGATTTGAAAGAGATCAACTCGATGTGAATGATGGTGTGTTCAAGCCTCGCCCAGCCGTCCTGACACCGCACAACACCAATCAGTCATTGCTGGAACGACACACACACACCCCTTCGGTTTAACACACAAACGCTGGTAATGGACAGATGATAATCACACACACACACTGTCTCACAGTGCTCATCTCCGGCTAGATAGCGGAAGAGCACCACGGGTCAGCGTGCTATTATTACAGCTTCTCATTCATGCAGTTGTAAGCTACTTATGTGTGTGCGTGCGCGTGTGTACGTGCGTGTGTGCGTGTGTGTTGAAAAGATGAGCCCATAGACTGCTGCTCACCACTGCCTTTCTGACAGCTTCACTGACAGTAAAAGCAAAGAAGGAGAGAGAAGGAGCGAGAGAGAAGGGAATGAGGGTGACACAGACGTAGAGTGTGTGCGAGAGAAAGAGAGAGGGAGACGGCAAGAAAGTGACAGTGAGGGGCTGCAGAGAAAACAGAGAACAGAGAGTGAGTGAGTGAATGAGCGGGAATGTGTGCGAGGGAGTGATGGAATTGCAAAGAGGCAATAGAAGAGAGAGACTGAAGGAAAAAGAGAGAGCAGAGGGGGAATTAAGAAAATCACAGAAGAAGAAGCGAGGCAGCTTTGCGGCTGAGTGGGAACGCAGACTGGGGGCAGAGCATGAAGCGAAGGGGGACCAGTTTTAAAGAAGAAGGGACTGGAGAGCGCAACAGGAGAGAGGGGAGAAAGACGAGGGAAGGCTGATGAAATGGAGAGAGAAATCCGGAAAGAGGATTTAGATAGAGAGAGAGGGGGGAGAGTAGGGGAGACGGAGAGCAAGAGAGTGCGGGAAAGGGAGTGGTAATTGAGAAGAATGAAAGGCTAAGAGCTTTGAAGACTGTATTAGTTGTACTGTGTGAAAGGGCTATGGATCATTTAGTGACATCGATGTATTGGATTGGGGATAATGGGGATTTATGGTGGCACTTTAGGCCATACCGGCTAAATACCGGCCCAAATTGTCATAATGCAGGACGTGGGGCGGATGGCGAAGGGTACATGGGCGTGTGTCCGTATGGAGCAACGTAATGTAAGAGACGAGACAGAAAGAGACATTAGAGAAACAGACAGTGGCGGAAGAAGTATTCAGATCCTTAAAATAGCCGCAACATAATGTCAAAATTCCTCTTTATAAGTCCTGCATTAAAATGTTTAATTAGTTAGTCAGTAAAGTAATTAAAAAAGCACTACTTTTGCACAATAACACCTCAGAGATAGCTTTGTAATTATACCTGCCTTTTGCAGCTTCCAAACTAAAGTAACTTTGAGGTATGAAATGGGGCAGAATATATAATAAAGAAGATTTGAAAATTAAGTATAACAGAAGAAACAGTTCTCACATTCTTGATTTGTAATTTATACCCTTTTAAAAAGGAATAAATTCAAGTAAACCACAATCACAGCACTTTGAGGAATACAACAAATATAGGACTGTAACTAATGGTCATTTTGATTATTGATTAATCTGTGACATACTATTTAATTAATTAAATGTCAGGAAGTAATGAAAAATTAACATCACATTTTCCCATAGTTCAAAAATATGTCTTGAAACTGGTTCTTTTATCCCACCAAGCATCCAAAACCCAATAATGTTATATTTTTCAGTGATATAAAATAAAGAAACATTTGAAAACCTGGAGCCAGTAAATGATTGACATCTTCAGTTCAGTTCAGTTCAGTTCAGTCATTTTAATATCCTAGATGGGAAACTTGTCTTGGCAGTCAAGGGCACAACATAAAAGACAACACAAGTACAGAAAAAACAAAAGTACAATAACACAAGAATGTTTCCTACCTACAACATACAGAACA